AGAACTGTTTGTCCATCGCCGCTCCTAACACCGGTGTACGGTGAGAGATGCTCACACGGACACGCTGGCTTTCCGTGCACAAACAGCGCCTATTTTGAACCCAAATACGGAATTTCTTTTGTTTCTTTTGGCCCTATGTTACAGCAGACTTGGTGCACTACAGTGGTTAATCCTCTATGTACCGTGGTGTCAACTGAGACAACAAAACTACAGGCCGGATTGTCGGGAGCTAGTCGGGAGGAGTTGTTGTACAATGTGTTGGAAGATTGGCCCTCCTTGCGGCACTAATCTTCCCGATCCTTCCCAATGAGATCATGATTTATTGACGAGGAGATAACCAAGAGTCGTTATTTTTCAATCACGTTTCACAAGCTGTTGAAATAAACACGTAAAAATCTGTCTGCATGAGGGATACTCATAGACACACTTAGATTGTTAGGATATTTTGTGTCTTTACAAACTATGATAGAGACAGCTAGCATACTTGAAGATTATGTGTTTTTGGTATATTTTGCAAATTTTTCTGTCTGTCTAACGCAAAAATCAAGTCGAATATCAACTTTGTAAATACCAACAAAGTACGTACCAACATGTAAGCATACTCTACGATATCTTCATTTATATCTTTCCATCTCTTAAATTGTCTCACACCTAACACGAGATAACGATTTTCAGGTAGAAGTTAAATCTCTGAAGAGTGTCTATTGTGTACTTTGTTGCCAATTTCCGCACGGAGCCCATATCGTGGTTGTTATCGGCGCATCTCCTGCGCGGTAAGCCGGCTCTATTGTCCGCCCATTGCGCTGATCCCGTCTGCGGGCCCGGCTCACCAGCTCACGGTTAGTCCTCCTGCTCCCTTTGTGTTCTTCAGGGACAACAAACTGGTATCTCCAAGCAGATCTTATGATGACTGCAAAGCAACATCAAATTGGCCAGGCAGTGCCCAATACGCGACCCGTAAAAAGATAACCAGTACGAAAAGCAAAGCCCAATAAAAACTCTGCTTGGAGAGTAAAGGCAATAAATCAACAAGTATGGAAGTAAGGATGGCAGTTTTATTTTCGAACAACAATTCTGCATCTATTTTCTTCCTTGAAGCATTTGAATAGTTTTTGTTGGGGGGGGGGCATATTCCAGTGACATAGCTGAAAAAAATCAGCCTGATTTTATTGTTGACAAATTTGCAAGATCTTCCGGCTGCCACAGCCCTCCTCATTTTCACTCTATATCTTAGGGTGGTGGGTCGAGTCATGACAATATGTCACAGTCAGTCTGCTCACAGTTAACAAAGTACAAAGACGTGACAACCTTTTCCTCCCCACCTCTGCTTGGATAGACGTCCTCTCCCCACCACCGCCACCCTAATCACCAAGCAGATTCTGTGGGGCAAGGGGAGTCTATATTGGCCGCCTGTATCCATTTGCCTACGGCTAGCAGTTACAGGAAGTAACTGGCCAATATAAACTGCCCTTGCCCCACAGAATCTGCTTGTAGATGAGGTGTGTTTACCCCCCATGTCGGGGTGTCCCCCTCCCTCCCCCGACACGCCTCCCGGTCTGACCCGGGGTACAGACGGGTCACCCCACCGCATCGCTCCCCGGTCCTCTCGGGTTCCGCCGTGTTTGTTTTGGTTCTACCTGTGATGTTGACTCAGAGATTGCTACAATTGACGTCAACACAAACTCTTTAGAAAGAGGGAAAACTCGGCTTCCTCCAGCATATACACTACTTTTAGCTGCACCTGAAGCCCCCCTCCCCACCAAAAAGGCTACAAATACAGCTGAGATGTATAACAAATAGCTTGACGACATATATGTAGAACTGGCATGATTTTTCACAGATCGATATCGCTCACTACGTCAAAGTCTAATACAATAATATATAATATAAAATGCTTACACAATAGACCCTGAATAGAAGATAAAGCTTAAATCATCAACTGCGTTATTTGCATTAAAAACCGTATAAACGTTTGGACGATCTCACAGCAGACTGTGGGACGATCTCAGAGCAGACATCCATAATGTCCAACACAATAAGTGTCAGTATCAGAGAGCAGACTGGAGACTCAGTGATGTGCGAGACTTCGGAAGCTGTTTGTTTACCGAAACAAATGGGATTAAAGCAATTGATTCACTATGAGAAAACTCAACTGACAACTTAAATGCACCCAATCTGTCTTCTCGCAAACTCGACGTCTTGTAAATGTATCTAACACTTGTAAAAGTTATTGTAAGATGAAGACACATGTTGTTGTTCTTTTATTTTCGTTCGTGTATGCTTGTTTATGGGTATTTAGCGTTACTGTTGATGAAGTGGTGTATTAGTGATGTATCCTCACGTCCATGTCCGGAGGCGATGTCTTAGGAAACATCCGGAGCTGATGTAGACGGTAGAGTCGGAACATATCTGCCAGATTTGTGCGCTATCTCCCCAACAATCCCTTCCAAATAGCCTTACAAATGAAGCGGATCTCCTTTGAAGGCGCCCAATCTCCGAGACGCTCCCGGCGTGCCCAAGAACTTGCCTCTGGCGGGCCCGCCTGTGAAGTAGTGATCCCCCGGGCTCACCACTCCCAATCTACGCTCCCGCCGTGAGCCGTGGACTTAGCCAACTACATCCCCAGATTTCAATTTTTATTTAACCCTAAAAGGCAGCGTTTTCGAAACAATAAACGCGGTTTTGGCGCTTCAAAGTCTCGGTAAAGTGTGGTGGTCCAACCGTGAAACTCGTGTGTGGTATTCGCTCAGGCAAAGAGATGTTGGACTTGAGAAGGGGTGTACTGTGTTAGATTTGAATGTAAGTCCGGCCCTTTGATCTGTGTAGAGTGGTTTTCCTCCCCTTCTTTTCTTAATAATAATGTTTACAATATTTTGAAATGAAACATCGTCTAGAGCAGGCCATCCGTATGACCATACAGGTGGCTTAAATTCTACGGTTGTCTAGTGTGCAGCGAGACGACAGTATAATTCGAACTGACGTTGCAGAAGGCTTCAGGACCCTGTGAAGTTGTATTTCCACTATCTCTGCCAAGAGAAGTCTTCTCAACTAATTACTCTTGTCAACTCCGATATCCGTTAGTATTCGGACGCTTTTGTGATGTTTAAGACACCTGTTTGATTGTTAAACGTTTTAGCATTTCATTAGCATTCAAACTTAGGGCATTCAAATCACAACCCCCTATCTGGTGATCAGTGATTTCCATTTTAGTCATACACCACAATTTGTCAGATAATATCGGAAAGACCTTGACAGAACACCTTTTTCATGTGAAACAGTTAAAGGTCCATTTTTGCAAGAGGTCATTCCGAAGACACCTTGGCGCCACGACTGTCCGGAGAACTGACATCTTCCAAGTACCGGACGACGTCGGAAGGACGCTTAAGCAGGTGTGCTGGCGCAGGTGTGATGATAGACCTTACCTGTCCTTTTCCTTAAGGCACGCCCAAAATAATCTCATCATTTTCAGGAACAGTAACATCTAGTAACAGCCAAACATACTATATGTTTTGTTCTTACCTTTTGATCTAGCTGGAGTTTACTTTTTGCGGCGGTTCTATCAAACACTGTGGTTTTCCGCTGAAAAGAACATCGCCCGATAAGTTACACCTTACACCTCCCTATCACAACTGTCGGTGTCGCAAGCAACAACAACATCAAAGAGAGGTGTACATACAAGCTTCGTGTTGAAACACAGCAGTAACCGTAGACTCCGCCGGTTGAAAAGAACAGGCTATCGGGCCATTTGTTCAGTCATCAGAACAGGTTCACCACTTAGATAAGGTAGTTCTTCTTCCGCGGCGGTCACTTCAAACACAGGTGTTGACACGTCAATATTTCTCTATCTCTGTGCTCGCTAGACCACTGTGTCTTCTCCTCACTACAAAACGCTTTTAAGGTGTTTTTTTAAGACCGCCCGGCCAGATCTCAAATGGAACCCATCCTCCCCGTCCCTATCATGTTGTGTTGCTAGAACTACCTACATGGGATGGCTTCTTCTAAATATCTGTATGGTATTCTAGACGTTAACAGTAATCAAGTCTACAGCATATCTCCATTCTCTCAGCTATGTAATATCAGCCATATAATGTACTATGAACCAGTTCATAAAACGTTTTAGAGAAGTTATCGCTCGCAATCGTCGTGTCAGATACCGTGAAAGCACATTTGCTTTAATCTGGATGATTATTTTTACGATACTGGGTGCTGTTATATGGTATGCTCTGGTTGTTACAATCGTAGTGTTCCACTCAGATGGCACCTATATGCATCCCTGTGACCTGTCTAGAGAATGACATCCTGGAAATATCTTGCCGTACAACATCCTACGTGCCGACGGACTGTCACTCCCGTGTTTACTTCTGTCCAGCTAAACCGCACCAGAACGCAATGACGACTGACTCTCGCTTCAACGTTTCTCTGACTTTATTTTCTCAGTGGAAAGTGTTAACAGGGTGTTCGGCGGGTGCCATGCATATGTATACGGCTTAGATAAATTGTAGGCATTGTGCCGCGGCTTAAGTATGCTAAGAGCCTATGGAACAAAAACAGTGGCTCACCATTTGTTTGGATAAAAACATAGGTTAGATCAGCCCTGCAGCGAGAAACACAATATGGGCCTCTTCATTTCTAGATGTACGAGATAAGTATATATATATATATATATATATATATATATACTCTGTCGGTGCTGTACAATATATACAAAAAAGGTGCTGCCATAAATCGGGCTTCCTTCACCGGGGCAACTTACGACACTAATTCGTACATTTCAACACTTGGTTTTTACTTTAGCTATCCGTTTTGCGGCGGCTGACAAGTGACAATAAATACACCGGGGCTGACATAGACCAGAGGCCCCTGACCTTCACCACAACCCCTCATATATAACCTCCTCTCACCACAACAATTTACATGTCCACTTTACACCCGTAGTTTTTATCTCAGGTACGGTAAATATCTAGGCTTCTGCAGTCCCAAACGTGCGGCTGCTAAGGCGTACCGAGCCAGAAATATTGAAGATAAATCCTGGTACACTTCTCAGCAAATTTTCTACACGTCAATCAAGTTTTGGCTGCCCTGCTCTGACCCCACACATAGACGAAAGTACTGAAAATATTATGGCAAAAGAGTCCGCCACACTTTCTAATCCCGTGGAGTTGCTTTAGCGCAAGGATTGCATCCTAAGACAACTGCTCTCCATACCTTAAGGTGGAGAAACATAATAATCGGACCGCCTTCCAACAACCGCACCTTTGGAACAGTCTAGTCCACTAAGTCGTGTTGAAATAACCACTTTGTCACATCGAGTTTGTTCTATAAATATTGCTGTCTAAACATAGTCCTTTCTGACCAAAATAGGACGACGTTGCCTTCTATCAAAATTTAAACAATAGGTAGGATATGGAATAACGTTATACATATACAATACAAAACGGAACTGCAGGATTTAGTACCCGACTAGAACCGTCTTCTTGGTCTTGACGTCAGCTTCTGTGAGTGTCCAAGACGAGAGGGGGACGGGGAAACCGGGGAGGGGGAGGGCAGGGTACGGATGGGAGGGGAGGTGGGGGTAACGGAGGGGAGGGAATGTGGGGTACAGAGGTGTGGTGGAATGGGACGGGGTCATACCGGGGATGGGAGCTAGAGCCGGCGGAGGAATGGCGGGGATCTGCCGAGGAGAGTTCATCAGACGAGTCGGTGTCCTGGCGGCGTGCAGGACGATGTTACTCCGGAGGATGTTCACAGCAGACCCGGTAGTCGTACCGAGGCTTGCTGGTGAGGTTCTCGGGCTGGGGTTGAGTCGTTCTCCGGACAAATGATATCTGCTGACCGGCGTCGGTTTGGTCCTGTTGTCGGGAGCTAACAGTCTCTCTATACTGAAGAGTCCAGGTTCTGCCGGCGCCGGGCTGGCCTGTCGGGACGATGTTGTCTTGGCTCTGAGGTCTACAGACGTTCTCTGAGCGGAAGACGACTTTCTCTCGGTTTCCGACAGACCGGACCAGGGTGGGGAGGCCGAAACACGGTCATCGTCAGCTTCTGTTGAGGAATCATTATCGTTTGTACGTGTGGAGTCAGCCAGGACTCCGCCCTGGTCCTCCCCGTCTCCTGTCACCTCGGGGTTTGTCGCGTTGTCGTCTGCGGACCGTTTAGCTGAGGACTCCGATACGTCGTCTTTGGTGTCAGGACCCTCAGCTGGTTTGTAAGGCGTCTTTGGTTTCCTCTTCCTTCTCCTGTAGTTTCCGTTTTCAAACATCTCTTCACAGTCCTGGTTCAGAGTCCAATAGTTGCCCTTCCCGGGTTTGCCTTTCTCCCGGGGCACCTTGACGAAACAGTCGTTCAGAGACAGGTTGTGTCGGATGGAGTTCTGCCAGCCCTGTTTGTTGTCGTGATAGTACGGGAACCGGTCCATGATCCACTGGTAGATGCCGTTCAGAGTGATCTTCTGGTCCGGGCTGGAGCGGATGGCCATGGCGATCAGTGCGATGTAGGAGTAGGGCGGCTTCTGGTGCCTCTCCGGTCTCTCCACGTCCCCGTACAGCCCGTGAGGGTAGGGGGACGTCCCCATGGGGTAGGGGGACGAGTCGGCTGCCGACGCCGAGGTGAAGAAGTAGGTCGGGCCGGGTCTGAAGCCGTAAGGGTCACCGTACCGTGTGTAGAGGCTCCCGAGGGCGGCCATGGCGGTGACAAGTTCAGAGAGGGCGGTGAGTGAAGGCGGTGCAGCTGACAGTAGATCACGGCGGGATCGGGACGACACCACCGCTACGGACGACCTTCCTCCGGCGAGACAGGACAGTAAGTGTGCCTCGCGGGACCACGTCCTTCCCTCAAATACACCCCGGGGCGACTGGCCGGGCTTGTTTGTCTTGTTACCAATAGTCGTACTTTGTTTTAAAAATTGTCGATTGTTGTTTTTGTACCTAGGGATGAGTTGACTTTTCGAGAGCAAAATAAATGCCGCAGGACCATCAGGCTTTGAGAGGCGGCCACCCACAACCCCTCGGAGTGCCCGGGTCACTCGGGGTTTCAACACTCCGACGTCACCGCACCCAATCAGAGCAGTCATACACACGACGTTTATTTGCGGGCACCCAAACAACGATTATGCCGCCCACCCAGCGAGAAGCCCGCCTTGTTTATTTGGAATTTCGGCTAAGGAAGCCCGGCCACCCATTACGATAAACAGAGATACTCCATTTTAAATAGTGCGTCGGCCGGCGGGAAGAATTAATCGGCGGGTTTACTGTATAGTGACACTATTT